CAGCCTGAAATATCTTAATGTGACTCCCCTCCTCCCCTCCCTTTTTCCAACCCATCAGGTCATGGATTCAATATACATTTTTTTTCATTGAGTTAAAATACATATAACATAAAATTTGCCATTCAAACCACTTGAAAGTGTACAATTCAGTGGCCTTTAGTACACAATGCTATGTAGCCATCACCACTACCTGTTTCTTTCTTTCTTTCTTTTTTTATTTTTTTGAGACAGAGCCTCAAGCTGTCCCCCCGGATAGAGTGCTATAGCATCACAGCTCACAGCAACCTCTAGTGAATTTTTAATTTCACTTCTATTTTTTAGCTCCAGACTTTCTATTTGATTTCTTTTTATAATTCCTATGTATTTATTCATATTCTCTACTTGATGAGTCATTGTTCTTCTGGCTTCCTTTAGTTTTTTGTCTGTGATTTCCTTTTAGGACTTTGAGAATATTTCAGACAGTTTATTTAGAGTCTTTGTCTAATCATTTCAATGTTGAGTTTCTTCATGGACAGTATCTATTAACTTTCTTTGTTTCCAGGTATAGGCCATACTTTCTTGCTTCTTTACATGCCTCATTATTTTTTGTTGAAAAGTGAACATTTTGAATATTACAATGTGGCAATTCTGGAAATCAGCCTACCCTTCCCTCTAGGGCAGGCGTCCTCAAACTACCGCCCGCAGGCCACAGGCAGCCCACCTAGGACATTTATCCGGCCTGCCAGGTGTTTTTGCTGCTGCTGCCTGTCCTACTTAGTAGTCAACTCGTCCCAGAGCCTGCAGTCCAGGCTCCAATGGTCTGAGGGACAGCAAACTGGCCCCTGTTTAAAAAGTTTGAAGACCCCTGCTCTAGGGTTTATATTTGCTGCTTGTTGTAGGTTATAGTTGTTTGTGCAGTGACTTCTATAAACTAGTTTTGCAAAGTCTGCAATTTTTGTCATGTGTGGCTGTGGAAGTCCCAGTTTTGTTAGTTGTATAGTCAGTTAGTGACTTGACAGAGGTTTTTCTAAATCCTTAGAGATATACACAAACAAGACAACAAGAAACTCTCCCAGTTTGCAGATTCACTGTTGAAGCACTCTTACAACACTTAGCTAAGCTATTTACAATTCTGCTCTACTTTTCACTTCCTGATTGTACAGAGATTAAAGCTCAGCCAGACTGAGAGCTTAAGGCCTTCTCCGGTCTTTTCTGAGCCTGCATCTTGTCCTGGTCATGTGCGTAGCCTTCTGGATTTCCTGTACAGGAGGGAGCTTTTCAAAGCCCTTATGCCTTCCCCAGCCTTTTCTTCCCAAACTGTTCATTGTATCTCTTGTTTGCTGCCACAGTGAGTCCTTGCAGAAGATAATTCATTTGCTTTTAAATGCTTTCAACACATATCACCCAGGAAAGCCACTTCTGCTCTGGGGAAGCTCCAAGGCTGATGAAACAAAGTCAAGCCCATAAATTGTTCCTTCAGGGAGCCACCGGATAGGTCCATATACAAAACTACAGTTCTTTGAGAGTAAGATCTGAATTGGTCCCTCCAGTGCTAGCAACCTGCATCAGGAATGTAGGCCATTGTCTTCAAGGTCACCACTGTGCTGGGGAGCCAGGGATGGTAAGCAGGTAGGTAGGTTAAAATGTCTCAGTGTTTTCTTACTGAAATTTAGCAGTTTTTTTCTTCATTAAGCATCCTTTTGGAGTTTGGGGGGTTTTGGTAAATTTTCGATTAGATTCCATAATTTTGGAAAAGTTGATTCTGATAGTTTATACCAGCTTATTCCTTGTTTTTGTGGAGGGCTAGAGATTTGACATTCACTTGCTCTGCCACTTTTAGCGATTTTTTTTTCGTAGTTTTTGGCCAGGGCTGGGTTTGAACCTGCCACTTCCAGGGTACGGGGGCGGCGCCCTACCCTTTTGAGCCAGAGGCGCTGCCCACTTTTAGTGATCTTTCCAACTACTTCTTGACCTGTCTGTGACTGCTGATGTCTTTCACTCCCGCTCAGCCTCTGACTTGTATCTCTGGTCTCTAAACCACCTGACTTCTTTGCCTGATGTCCAGTTTCTTTCAGATCCATCTCCAAACATTCCTTCATTCTTGGCCTCTGGTGACCCCAGTTAATTTCTGACCTCTGATTCTGTGCCTTCCCTTGGTCACAGACTTTCTTTCCCCTCCCTGATCCCTCTCTGAAGCGCACCTTAACTTCTGACCCATTGATGACTCGCGTTCTGTCTCTCCAGGGCTCTAATGCTGTGGCCTCAGCTCTTGGGGCCTGTTTGCTGCTTCGAGTACTGGCACGCCAGGAGACTGAGGCTGAGGAGGCAGCACGGAGGAAAGACCTGGCGACCAAGTTTGAGGGGTTGGCCGTTGGTGTGTGGTGCATGGTGCCTGGGAGCAGGGACAAGGGCTGCCATAAGAGGGGGGATGTGTATTTCCCCACTCCTCAAATACTCCTGCCCCTTCTTCTTAAGTTTCCTTTCTTTCCCCTCACATTTCCTCCCCACTGCTTCCCTTCCTTCTCACATAAATTCTCTGCCCCAGATCTTTTTGGCAAGTGCTACCACAGCAATGAGGAATGGGCCACCCAGCTACTCCTACGTCACTGCCCACTCTGGGGGGATGCTACCTGCCTCCAGCTTGCCATGCAGGCTGACGCTCGGGCCTTCTTTGCCCAGGATGGGATACAGGTGAGCATCTGAGAGTCCCCAACTGGACTCTGGGAACTATGGGGATGAGCCTCTGCCATTGGGAATAGTCCATGGTCTTGAGCAGCCCCTCCCCCTGAAGACCATCCCTGCCCTAGGAAGTCTTGCTCCTTCCTTTCTCCAAAAGACTGCTCTTGGCTCAGCAACTATAGTACAGTGGTTATGGCACCAGTCACATACACTGAAGCTGGAGGGTTTGAACCTGATCCAGGCCAGCTAAACAATGACAACTGCAACAAAAAATAGCTGGGCATTGTGGCAGG